CTGTGACTGTTCTTGAATGGCCCAGCCAGAGCCCTGACTTAAACCCATTTGAGCATCTCTGGAGAGACCTAAAAATGTCTGTCCACCAACGTTTACCATCCAACCTGACAGAACTGGAGAGGATCTGCAAGGAGGAATGGCAGAGGATCCCCAAATCCAGGTGTGAAAAACTTGTTGCATCTTTCCCAAAAAGACTCATGGCTGTATTAGATCAAAAGGGTGCTTCTACTAAATACTGAGCAAAGGGTCTGAATACTTAGGACCATGTGATATTTCAGTTTTTCTTTTTTAATAAATCTGCAAAAATGTCAACGATTCTGTGTTTTTCTGTCAATATGGGGTGCTGTGTGTACATTAATGAGGAAAAAAAATTAACTTAAATGATTTTAGCAAATGGCTGCAATATAACAAAGAGTGAAAAATTGAAGGGGGTCTGAATACTTTCCGTACCCACTGTATGTAGGGCAAGGCAGGAAACCTCAGTTGAATGTGCTTGACCTTTGAGCCCTCAGATGGCATTGCATAAGAAACCATCATGCTGCAGTGTGAAATATAGCCACATGGGCTCATGAGTACTTCAGAAAACTGCTGTCACTTAACACAGTCTGCTGCTGCATAAAGAAATGCAACTTGAATATCTGTTACTCTAGGAGAAAGCTATACATCAATCCTAGGCAGCGATGCTGCCAGGTTCTCTGGGCCAGAACTCATCTCAGATAGTCAAAAAGACAGTGAAAATGTGTGCTGTACTCAGATGAGTCCACATTTCAACTTGTTTCCAGGAAAAATGGATTTTGAGTTCTCAGTCCCAAAGACCAAAGGGACCATCCAGACTTTCATTAGCGACAGAAGCAAAAGCAAATGTCTGTCATGGTATGGGGGTGCAGCAGAGCAAACAGCATGGGTGACTGGCATATGTGCGAAGGTACTATTGACATGGAGGCATACAGTATATTGGGATTGTACAGAGATATATACTGCCATCAAGATGATGTCTTTCATGGGAAGTCTATGGTTATTAGATCAAGACAATGCCAGCTCTTATTCTGCATGTGCTACAACAGCGTGGTTTCGTAGAGACAGAGTGAATGTGTTAGACTGGCCTACCTGCAGTCCAGATCTGTCTCCAATTGAAAATGTATGACCAGTCATGAATCAACTTCATATATCTGTTACAGAAAGGATAGATATATGGAAAATTAGGTATTCGATTTTTATGTGCTCAAAAAACATGCAAACAAACATATGCAAAGTAAGATATTATGTTTTCATTACTGTGCAATGTATACATATCTTTTAGCATTACAAAAAATTGTTATTTTAGAGCATTTCATGTATTTTGCTTATTCTTCTGACTTTCACAGTGATAAACATGTTAAAGGTTATCTTACCCTCTCGCCAGAGAAGGCGATTTCAGGGTTGGAGACGGCTGCTATCTTTGCCAGAGCATGGCTGGCCTTTATTTTTCCTTTGTCAGTTCCCTCCAGGGCTAATGGTAGCAAAGCCTGTAGCACATAGTAGTGAAAATTTTAATTTCAAAAGATTTACTGAAGTATCTACTGGGAATGTGTTTGGTCTGTGGTTTTTTACCTTGAGCTACAATTGTGCCACGATCTTTAATATCTTCTGCCAAGGCAAGAAACATTCTGGGTGGACAAAAATAGTAAGACTATTAACTTCAGCAGCATATTAGACAACAAATCATCAGCCCATATTAGATTTTAGAATGGTAGTTTTAGCATCAGGGTCTAGGGATTACAACACAGGATGTAAAAAATGACAATAAAAAAAAGTGTAATAAAATATATATTTTTAAGAAATCAATAAATAGTCTTTTATTAACTGTGGTGTCTAAATGTTTCTTGAATTTCAATGGTTTCATTTGATGAAGTCAGTAATTCACAGTGCAAAACAAGCTGTGTTTGCAGCCTACCTTATCAGAATAGACTTTTGACCCATTTTTGAGTCTTACCTTGCTAGCATCTCTTTGGTCTGATCAGTCAGGATAGAATTATCTGCTTTGACCATGATAGCGAGAGCTGATGTGGCTCCAGCTTTCAATAGCCTCTTTACTCGCCTTTCAATGAAGTCCTTCTTATCCTAAAGCACAAGAGAAATGTTTTAAAATGTATATATTAACTCGTCCAGCATAACATTTCAAGCAGTGTCCTGCAGTTTGACATCACAGACCTTATCTAAAACTAATTCAAACAACATTTTTTGTTCTTGTTGTATACTTAAGCATAAATTTATTGAGAAACTACATGGAGTATTTGTAATTTTAAAGATTGATTTGCCACATCACAGGATTCTGTGTATGTTACCTTCGGGTGCTGCTCAGGGACGTGTTGTTTGGAGAACTTGGCCAGCTGCACCATCTCAGGGATGATCTCTTTCTTGTCATAGCTGTTGGTGCAATGGACCAGGGTGCAGGCGACAGCATATAGGATGGTCTTATCTTTTGACTAGAAGAGAAAAATGTTGTATTGCCATTTGTACATTTATATGTAAATCTCTATTAAGTCATATGGATTGAAAAAATCTGCACAGTTGATCAAGTTAATTCAGTCTTTTTATCTTTTAACACACACCTTGGCAAGTTCAAACATGGCTCTCATGGCTGCTTCATCCTCAACAAAGTCATCTTTTACATCAGCATCATTTGTAAGGTAAGCCAAACCTTCAATGGCCCATTTCCTTGTACGCACATCAAGTGTAGGGTTGCAGAGCCACCTGGAATAAACCAAATCTAGTTGAAATGCAATGCTGAATAGGCACTGTTGACAATGTAAATGAAGGTGGTCATATATGTTAATGTATTTGATTTTCTGACAGTAGTTTCAGTACATTGTCTTTTAGGGGGCGCTCAGAAAGTTTAAAAAGTGCTATAGTACCATTCAAAAGTTTAGAGGTTGGTATGATTTAAAAAAAAAAGTTTTTGAAAGAAGTCTCTTATGCTCACCAAGGCTGCATTTTTTCCATCCAGAAATGCAGTAAAAACAGTAATATTGTGAAATATTATTACAATTTAAAAGAACTATCTTATATTTGAATATATTTTGATGCATAGCTGCATTTTCAGCATCATTACTCCAGTCTTCAGTGTCACATCCTTCAAAAATCATTCGAATATGCTGATTTGCTGCTCGAGAAGCATTTCTTATTATCAATGTTGAAAACAACTGCATTTATTTGAAGTATAAATCTTTTGAAAATTACAAAATGTCTTTACTGTTACTTTTCAGATCCATTTAATGCATCATTGCTGAATAAAAATCTTACTGACCCCAAACCTTTGAACACTAATGCATGTTTGAACACAACTCATACAATATTATATTAAAATATTATATGAGTCCTACAAATAAAGAAAAGCTGGCATTCACACTTTCTGCACTGCTTGGCCAGTTTCTCAGTGGAGCCCTCTTAAAATTGTCTCATGCTGTAATCATCTCCTCCAGCGGATCCCAGTTTACACAGACCCTGAGAAAAGAAATTGGATATATCATGTTACATATGCAAAAATATAACAACTGCTCTTGTTCAATAACTAATGAACACTACAACAAACACAGTTTGAATAGTGCATAAAGTGTCTGCTCACTACAAGGGCTCTGATCTTGATCTTCTCATTTTTAGTTTTCTTGTACATGTCCTTCAGCAGATTTACTCCACTGAAAGTGAAAGTGATAAAAAAGTGAAAGTGATGTGACATGTGGCCAAGTATGGTGACCCATACTAGGAATCTTTGGGTTACAAGTCCGACTCTCTAACCATTAGGCCACGACTTCCCCCTGATGAAGAAGGAGGCTTTGCTGGTTTTGGTGGACGCATGAATGAGGGCCTCCACTGCTACCAACTGGTCCACTTCACGCTCGGATCCACACAGGGCCACCATCATCTCCATAACGCCCTGATGATCCGCAAGGACGTTGCCCGCATCGAAAGGCCCCTGAAGAATGCCTGACGGAGTATTGATGGCATGGATGTTTCTGTCCATGTCGTTGGGGTCAAACCTGCTCCTGTTAATGGTAACCAGCGACATTAAGTATCAACTCCACATGTATGTTTATATACAATCCTAATTTTGTAGTGAAAGCTGAACTTACTTAATGTATTCATCACAGATATCTCTGAAGTTATCTCTCTCAGGGTCACAGCGCATGTCATCGTAGAGCTTGTTGAGGAGAACGCTAGCAATCAGCGGTGTGTTTTCTGTCAACGGCAACTGATCCGGAAGGTCTGGAACCTGACCGCAGACCTTCAGAATCTTCAGACCTGTTTTTGAGACATTTCCATAAAAACGTTACATTAAATTATGTCATTGCTGTCCTCCTAGCAGCACAAATCACGTGTTCACACTTGAAATTTGCTTGTGAAATTTACACACAAACATTTCTATGAACAAATCTTTATTCACCAAAAAGTTTCATACGAAATTATATTCTAAATATACGAAATTTACCATTCATATGCAAAAAGCACATTCTCTGGATGTCCTTATAATCATGTTAAGATGACATTTATATTAGAACAAAGGCTATAAAAAAAGGTTTTGCTTTGGGTGCGTTTTATGCAAATAATTATTCTCGGACACGCGGTTGCTCAGAATACTCCAAATACATTAAAGCACATGCACAGCTTTCCACTTAGCTGTTGTTATTATGACAGTGATATATTTATGACACTATCATACTATAATGTTGAATAACATACCATGGTCAATGGTGAAAAGGAGTTATCTGTGTTTTTCTTGGCACATTCTTGGTCAGGAGGTTCAGAGCCTGGTCTCGGCCGTGTCCAGACACCTTCTTGCTTGCGATCATTTCCAACAAGGCAAGCAGAATATCCTTCAAGTCCTTACTGGAGTCTGCCAGTCATTGGACAAGAGCAGTTTGCAATTTTAACTCAGTTGCACTCAATCGGGTCAAATTATGGCAATCTTCAGTAATGTTGCTCTGAATTCAGATGTCTTCTCTTACTGAGTACAAGGGCCTCTTCTTTGCCGTCATTTCTCTTGTCTCCTCCAGAAAGGGAGTCATAGACACACTGGAACAGGTTTGCAGTGGCCAGAGCGATCTCTTCATTATCTATGGCCATGATGCTGCACAGCTTGCTAATTCCCACCGTGTGGATGATGGCAGTTGCCTTTAAAACCCAAACATACTATTAACACAAATATTTTAAACAAATGGTCACAAATACAGTGAAAAGAGGAAGTGCACCAAGATGACTGATGTTTTGTGGCCTTTATTTCTTATTAGCTTATTACTTTTATTGCATTCGTTTATGCAACTTGCAATAACATTTTAGTCTGTATTTTTGTTTTTTGTTATATATAATAGAGTATCTTAATATTATAAGTTTATTGTAAATAATTAAATTCAGAGAATATGTTGATTTAAGGATGTTTGTTTTTCCGCCAAAAACAAGAAAATGCATTTTGACAAATTATTTTTGTTTGGTAGCCTTTATTGTATTCCTTATTATATTATTTATCTATATTATTTTATTTTATTTGTTATTGCACAAACTACCAAAAGTATTTTAATCAGTATTTTTGTCTTGTTTTTCAGGAAAATAAAAATCAATCATTTAAAATAAAAAATATATTA